TCGCATCAGACGCTTCCACCCGGGACCTCTGGTTTGTTGTTTTTTTAGGAACAATTTATTTATAAAACGTGAAAATTCTGAGCAAGCTGTCACACAGAATTTTACTCAAAGTCCCATGAAATCCTAAACGCAAGCTTGCTGTGAGGACAGCGGACCCGACGATGGCTGCGTCAAAGCCTCCGGCGCCGTTGGGTCCCTTTTGTTACCGTGTTTGGGGGCGCAGCTGAAGGAGGCACAGGGTGCGGATGCTTTTTTTTTCTTTAAGCGTGTTAATATTGATTTTAGAAGCCCTGTGCTCCAGCAATATAAATGCAAATGCCTCCTAATTGGGAGCCGCGTGCGGAATTTCTCAACGGAAAACACGTCCAACTTTTCAGGACAATGAAAGGAAAATAAAAAGCCGCTTATTTATTGCTGGCGGTTTGAATCTTGGATTTCCTTTCAAGTTACTTTGCAGTGCTAAATAAAATACCTAATTGCAGCGCTCACAAAATTCGAATGGGAACATTTGTTCTTCTGGTGGCTCGCGGCTGTTTGCAGCCTCTGGACACCCTCAGCGTTATTTTAGCACATCTATAACTTCTCATTGTGCTGGAAGGAAAAGATGTGTGTGGGGGGGGGGAAACCTTCAGATTTAGGAGCCCCAGATGATGCTTGCACTTGGAACGTGTGCTCAGTGCTGGAAGTGGGTGAGCGTCTCAAGGTAACACTTATGGGTGATCAGCTTATGATAAAAGGAAGGAATCAGAGTCACAGGATGTGAGGAGCTGGAAGGGCCCTGCAAAGCTGATCCAGTGCAACCCCTGCCACAGCAGGATCACCAGAGCAGTCACACAGGAACACGGCCAGGGCTTTGGATGTCACCACACAAGGAGACTCCACAACCTCTCTGGGCAGCCTGGGCCATGCTCCAGAACCCTCACACTCACAAAGTTTCTCCTCATCTGCAGCTGGAACCTCCTGTGCTCCAGCTTGGGACCATTGCCCCTTGTGCTGGCATTGGCCATCCCAGAGCAGAGCCTGGCTCCTTCCTCCTGACACTGCCCTTTCCCAATGGATCCCCAGGAATGAGGGCACCCCTCAGTCTCCTCTGCTCCAAGCTCCAGAGCCCCAGCCCCCTCAGCCGCTCCTCAGCAGGAGATGCTCCACTCTAAAGGGAGATGCTCCACTCAGGGAAGTGCCAGTGAGCCTCATCCTCTGAATTCCCCGGTGCCCTCACCTCCACCTTTCCCCCTGGGGAGCAGCGGGGCAGGTCCTGCACATGGAGCTGGGGCTGGGGGTGCTGAACCCCTTGGGTGCTGTGAAACGGGAGCGAGCGCCCGGCCCCGCTGCCCTCCCGCATCAGCGGCTGCTGGGGGGCTGTGTGTGTGTCTCAGTGCTCACCATTTCATCATAATTACTAATGAAACTCTAGATCGGTAATAACGGTTTGGATATCTAAAACAAACCATATGCTTGTAAAAAAAAAAAAAGGGAAAAAAAAAAAGTGGAAACAGATCAACTTCAAGCCATAAATTCTTGGTAATAGAGGCCTCCTTTTTATTTTTTTCCCCCCTTTTCTGTTTATGTTTGATAGATATTTTTGTTTCTGCAGGAATGTCAACTCTTAATTTCATGATGTATCATGGGCTTAGGAAAATTGAATTTAATAAAGGCGAAAGATGAATGGCACCTTTAAAGGTCCCAACACTTGTCTTTATTAGCGGGACAAACTGCAGAGTCTCCAAACACTGCTTCTCTCCAAATGAAAGTTTAAATGAAAAGTACAGTGGTGTCACAGGTTAAATTTCATTGCAGGACTGGCTAACGTCGTTACTGAGGAGTGGGGCTGATTTCATGGGGCTGGTATCTGTTGCCTTAGATACCAGCGGAGCAAACACCGCCAGAGACTGGAAAAATCTCCGCTATAGGAAGCGTGCAGATAAACAGCCTCTGGGGAAAGGTCCTTTACCGCTGGCTTCAAAAACCGACCAAATAAGCCCAAAAGTCTCCCCTGAGACGCTCGAGTCGCTCCTGGGTTTTCAGTCCCGCTCCTGGCCACGTGCGTCCCGCAGACGTGCAGTAATTCTGGGGGTTGTTAAATTCTCCACGTATTTTTAGTGCGGCTCTTTCTTCCCTCCGTCTCTCTTAATCCGACCCTCCTGGAAGTGCTTTTTGCCTTCGGTTCTGGAAGGCGAGCGACGCCTTTGTGCATCAGATCAGCGGCAGGGCTGCCTTTCAGCCCCGCTTTGCAGGCAGCCGCTTGATGGCCCCTGAGGATGTTTCTGGTCCCTGGGGACCGAGCTCTGCGTGGCAGCACGGCCCTGCTGTGAAATGCAGCCGGTGTGTGTTGGGAAATGCTCCTCTCGCCCCACCGTGGGCTTGCCCACTTCCACGGTCACCCCTGGAGCAGGGTGCGGACCTAAGGGACATGGAGCTGCCCCAGCCCTGTTTGAGGGCGTCACTGGGTGGTGATGTCCTGGGGTTAAGCCTGGCTCTGTTTTGACATCCTGTCCATTGGCTTTATACTTTTCAGTCTGTTTTCTTTATGGTCAGAAGTAGGATAATGCTTTCAGAGCCTGTCTGTGGTAGTTGTTGTGAAGGGAGGATCAGCTGTGTCTGGTGTTTCTTACCTAGATTGAGTTTCTCCTGTTGCCATGGGTCATCCTGGGTGACTGAAGCTGCTGAGTTTGGCTGCACCAGCACCGATGCTCAGGTGTTTTGCCTCTGTGTCCTCTTCCCCTTCCAGCCCATGGGTGCAGTTTTGTCTCTTGGGAAATTTGGCCATGGGGAAGGATGCACCCAGACCCCTGCTCTGCCTCGGCCTGCACGGCGCCACCGCGTGTGGCACAGCCGACCATGGGGATGTGGTTAAACCCTGCGTCCTCTGCAGCTCGACTGCTCGGTGTCTACACCTGGGCGCTCCAGCACTGTTAGCGCTTTATTTTAATTCAGTTTTATTTTTCCTGAATGTCCATCTCAGCAGCACGTGCTCCCTGCGTGCCTGCTGCTCCGGGGGGCTGCTCTGTGCACCCTGGGTGTTTCTCCTGGCTATTTAAATAATTGGTTGTTTCCATTCACCCACCCAGCGTCTTGACCTCCCTCTGCCTGCTGGGGCGATGACGTCATCAGCTCACACATACGACATCATCAACTCATGCATATGATGTCATCAGCGCACATGTATGATGTCATCAGCTCACGTATATGATGCAGTCAGCTCACACGTATGACATCATCAGCTCATACGTATGACTTCATCAGCTCACATGTATGACATCATCAGCTCACATGTATGACATCATCAGTGCACGTGTATGATGCCATCAACTCACATTTATGACGCCATCAACTCACATTTATGGTATGATCAGCTCACATGTATGATGCCATCAGCTCACATGTGTGACGTCATCGGCTCACATGTGTGACGTCATCGGCTCACATGTATGATGTCATCAGCTCACATGTATGATGCAGTCAGCTCACACGTATGACATCATCAGCTCATGTGTATGATGTCATCTGCTCACATGTATGATGTCATCAGCTCACATGTATGACATCATCAGCGCACGTATGACGTCATCAGCTCACATGTATGTCATCATCAGTGCACGTGTATGACATCATCAGCTCACATGTATGACATCATCGGCTCTCGCTATGACCTCACAACAATTTCCGCCTGCGGTCGCGAGCGTTGCAGCCAGGATCCAAACCCTGCGCCGGTTCCTCCGCAGCGGCCGCGTTTTCCACATGCTAATTTCACTCGCAGGAGTTGAATCTTTCTTTTCTTTTTTTTATTTTTTATTATTTCGTATTTGTCTCTTCCAGATGTTTTCAGGCAGTTTTTTTGCGTGTGTGTGTGTTGTTGTTAAACTAATTCCATTCATGTTTTAAAAATTTATGAAAGCGCTAATAAAAATGTCAAAGTGGTAAAAATGTTAGCTTTTGCTCTGCTTTGATTAAATTTCGCAAACTGTTTTTGAATATTAAAAAGCAATATTTTTTTTGATTCTCTCTCCCTCTCTCTTTTTCTCTCCAGAAGTGATTTGAGAGGCTTGTTGCGTGGATATCACTCAGCGGGCTCATTTGCACTCCAGAACCTCGGTGCCATGCATCTCTATTAAATAACATAGACAAATTATTCTTTAAAGACACCAAACAAATTGTCACTTCTCCTCTTACATTAAACTGGAAGGAGGAGAGGGAGTGGAGGAGGAGGGGGATGAACACAAAGGATTTTATGGCTTTTATCCGGTGGTCGGCTCTTTTTAATTTCATGTATATTTTGTAATAATTGAGAAATCCATCGCGACTGCATTTGTTTAAACTTTTTATTAACAGGTCCATGTAAATTTCCCATTGCTGATTATTCAAATAATTGGACATTCCTTCCGATGAAGGAACGTTTTTATTTCCCCATCAGCATAAATTGGCTGCGAAGAGGAAAATTAAGCAGGACTTGCTTACAGTGCTGCATCCCATGGGGGTGGATTTTGGGGGGAGGCTTCCGGCTCCTCTCCTCGCTCGGCTGGAGGAGGGCAGTGGTGCTCAGCCTGCAGGAAGGACGTGCTTCACGCAGTGTCTCCTGTGGGACACCAAGGTGGAGAGGGTGGGACTGGTTTTGGGGAGGGCACAGCCCCCCGGGTATCCTTGCTAAGTCAGCCCGTTGCAAGCCCATCCCCGTGCTCCCTGGGTGGTGCCAGAGCATCTTCCCGAGGTTCAGCTTCGGCAGCGATGAGTGCGGTACCGGGGCTGAGCACAGAGACCTCCCTGCTGCCCATCCCAGCTGCGATGAGCATCGGCACCATCCTCCTCCGTGCTCACAGCGCTGACGTGCCCTGTGCTCCAGCACCGCTTTCCTCCTCATACTGCAGAGCTTCACGTCAGGCTTGGTTTCGTTTGGGACTGTCAGACCCCTCTTTCCGCAGCCAGCTTGCTAGGCAGGATCATTTCCAGCTTCATTTTTTTCTTGGTTTGAAATGAACAGCTGCTTTTCTTTTTGCCCCATTCAGGAAATCATCGAATTCCCTATCCTGAAGCTGAATGGCAGGACGATGGAGATTGAATCCACCTTTCACATGTATGTTCAGCCTGTGGTGCATCCCCAGCTTACGCCCTTCTGTACAGAGGTAAAGTGCAAAGGTTCCCCGGTGCTCCAAGAGTCTCCCTGGGAAGCACATTTCCACTGCACCAGGGGTTGGGGTCGCCTCTTGATGGTGCAGCTGCAAGGGGAGTCATTTTTTGTCACTGCAGTAGCATGTAAGGACCTCAGTTTGGATTCATATGTAACTCTGGCTGTGATCTGCTGATTAAGATCAGTTGTATTGACAAGTAATGAGTGTCTTCCTGGGTGACCACAAAATAAAAACACTTG